TCTGTCTGTGCAGTGTGCCTCTCTCTGAATAAATCTACTTTTAGTCAACCATGGCTCTCTCTTGAATTCTTTCCTGTGTGAATCCAAGGACCCTCCCTTGGCGGAGTGCGTCCCAGGGACTCGTCCGAGACCTGGGACACAGCCGTCCTCCCGTGCCCCATTTTCCCTGTATTACTCCCTGCCATGGTGTCTGAAACACCCACCATGAAAATGCTCCCACTGGGTAAGGAAAAGAAAAGAAAATTTGTTATGAGCAGGAAGAGGGTAATAAACGGACAAGAGTCACTTCGGTGTGAGGGGCTTTAACGACTAAGCTAGCTTCTGATAAGGTGAGGACATAGAGGAGGGGAAGTTCTGGCTCACAAAGCGGAGCCTGAATGGTGATGCTCAGCACCTGTTCTGATGACTGTATCAGTGCATTTGTTGTGCATATGGACCCTGGAATCAGAGTAAGAAAATCGGAAACAGGCACCACCCCGACCGTGGTGTTTAATCTCACCAAGTTCCACTTACCTCCTCTGTAAAAACGGACGGTCCTGAATTCAGCCCCACGATGAAAGGTACCAATCAACTACATAACACACACGTGTAAGACCTTCAGTGGACGCTCAAAATAGGTGGGAAAGCTACTTGCATCCTTGGAAGAAGAGGACGGTAACATGGGAAGGGCACTGGCCTTGGTCACTTTTTAGCCACATGACCTTAGATTAGTCCCAGAACCGACTACACAATGCTAGGGACCCTTGCAAAATGAAAAGGCAAAGCCTCTCGTTCGAAACTTTTTTAAGATTTTCAAGATGGTGCTAGAAGAGCATTAAACAAAGTTTAATGGAAAGGCCCTTCCGAGCATGGGGCCTGTGCAGCTGTGCGGCTGGCACACCTGTGAAGGCAGCGCCCATGAGTCCTTTCCCCTCGGGATCCAGCTCAATGATGGTCACTTGCAAGTCTATTACGTCAAAAAGAAAACAGACAGCATTCATTTCACCGCTCTCTGGGCCTCTCCACGCGTGCCCAGGATGCTGCTGACAAAGACAACAGCTGACGTACTAGCACAAGTTTAAGGGAGACACTGTAGTGACACATGAGAGCACGTGTGTATTATTACTACTCGTAGAGCGCAAGCAGAAACCAGCCTCCTTTGATTGCTGTCAAGGTGCGCTAAGAGATCTTTGCTCTCTCTTTTTTTTTTGAACTGAACTATTTCAGAGTGCCAAATTACTTAGGGGCCTTCCTGTGTTTTAAGTCCTCTGCTTAAAGTAAGAATGATCTCTGTGGTTAGAATATCACCAAGAGCACCATTGTTGGCATAAATAAAAATGCAAAAGCAGAGGCAGCTGCATGTGATCATCAGACACTGGGCACTGTGCAGCTGCTACTTAGAAATGGGACCTGCAAAATACAGACATGCATAGATCCACTTGCCTAAGTAAATAATTAATTGTTGGATGAAGTCTGCACTGGAAGGATTACTGTCTCTAACTTCCCAGAACTGCTCATCTGCAAGGGAAGGACTCTGTGACTGTTACAGAAATTGCTCTCAGATGCATAAAGCACATAAGAGAATTTTTGGAAAATCCCTTATTATTCATCAAAGTGTTTTAAGGCCTTATTAATTCAGATGGGATAATGGCTTGTTGATTAGCCAGACTGTTAAGCCTCCACTGTCAGATGCTGATGGGGTGTGAGAAATTCCGTCTCTGACCCGCCAAAGATTCACCTGAATGCAGTTAGCACCTCATCAGGTAAGGCTGCATCTTTGGGGGATAAATTAGCTGGATCTTTAATCCCCCCGTCTTTTCTCTCATCTTCCCAACTTTTCCGTATTAAAAAGCATCCCCCATCCCATTTGGTTTTTCCTGCCTTATCTCAGGTCTCAGTCTATGTCAGGAGCCAACTTTAAAAGCTAGTTGGTCACCAGTAAACCACGCTCCACCATTAAAAGAGCATGCATGTGCCTGTGTCTGTGTCTGTGCGTGTCTATGTGTGGGTGCCTGTATGTTTTGGTTTGGTTTTACAGTTCTTGGCTAGAGCCTCCTCCACACCATCAGCTCTTCGAATCCAAGTTATATTCAGATCATCAAGAGAATTCTTCAGCCAGGGCTCCAGGACTCAACTTCCTTCCTTTCCAAACTTGACAGAGGGGGGAGTTTAACGGCAGTGAGCATGGGGGGAAAAGTCCCCAGATTAGAGGTCAGAAAAGGTGATTCATTTTCCAGTCCTGGTTCTGTTTTAGGAGAAGTAACTGCTCCTTGTAAGCTGCTCTCAATTCCGACAAGTCATTTCATCTCTCTGACAGTTTGTGATTTATTTTTCCTCCCTTTGATATCAAAGCAACATTAACCTTTATCCTTTACATTCCATCCAGAAGAGTTGGGGGTGTTTCTCTAAAGGTAGACCAGTCCCCAACCCTTCATAGAGCATCTGATCTCAAAGGACAGAGTGCTTCCAAGACTGAGGACCAAGCCCCCATCACCCAATCTTCAAAGAATAAGGTCCTTGTTTTACTCACGGAACTGCTCCAGATGCTCAGCACTGTTGGACTCGGGCATGGCGGTGATGGTCACCAATGGACATGAATTTCCTCCGAGTGTCTGGCAGAGAACCTCCTGCCGGAAGTAGACCTGCCTGGGGTTCACGCTTTTTTCCAGCATGTCCAGGTGAGTCTGGAGCAGAGATGAAATAGACGTGCACATTAATATTTTTGACAATAACAATTGTAGAAAGCAGCAACAAAGCTTACATTCATCGAGCTCCTTACCGTTTAGAAGTATTTTTGTTAACTTAATCTGCCCGACACTGGGCATTCAGTGATGAAAAGAGGGGGCTACTCCTACTGCCTGGGGGAAGGTCAGTGAGGCAGAACAGGAGGCCTCGTCCCTGCACGTGTCTGCACAACAGAATGTCCATTTTCATGCTGCACCGAAAGCAAGAGGGTCGGGGCGTATGACATTCTTCCCACGACAGTGACATGTAAAGAATGCAGATATCATGATGATGGGGCACATGCAGGGCACTCGGGAACCTGAGACAGAGCTCCAGCAGTGCAGAGCACTTGAGAATCAAGCGACGTGAGGAGAGCTGTGAGCATGTTAAAGGGAAACAGAAAGCAATTAACCCCAGGAGAATGCTAAGTGCAGGGAACAACTGACTAGTAGCAAATGATTTTTCCTACCCTACCTTCCCATTTACACACTCATGTAAAACACAGAGAGAGACAAAAATGGGGCCCCCATGGACACTAGGGCTCTTGGTCAACAATCTTAAAGACCTCCAAAGGTACGTTCACTGACCCGGTGAGAGGGATACTGGCCCTCTCCAACGCAAGAACGTCAGTGCACAAAAAGCATCCTCCCAACTGAAGAGCAAACAGGTATTAACACAAATAGGCAAGGAGAAGGCCAAGGAAACGCTGCCCACCTTGTTTTTGGACAAATAACAAGCCTACTAGACAAATGAAACAAACACAAATCCTATGAAAATATTTTAAAGTATGTATAATACATTTTATGTAAAAGGGAGCAGTGCCCTCAAAAGGTAGAGGAAGTGTTTACACGTGGAAAGGACTTACTATAGAGGTGGCAGGCAGGGTAACAACTCCCCTCAGGATGCCCATGCCCTAATCTTCAGACCCCGTCAATGGGTTACCTTACGTGGCAAAAGGACCTTGCAGACATGTTTAGGATGAAGGTCTATCTGAGATGGGAGGGTATCCTGCATTATCCAGTTGGGACCAATCTAATCACAAGTGCTGAAAAGCACCGAACTTAGCCCAGCTGCAGAGAACCAGCACAGATGCAAAGGACTCGGCCTACCACTGCCGGCTTGGAAGACGGAGGAAAGGGGTCAAAAGCTGAGCGATGTGGTGTCCTCTAAGAGCTGGAAGGGCAAGACAATGGATCCTCCAGAATAAACAAAGCCCCCACACCTTGACTTTGCCCAGTGACTTTTATCCGTGTTGAACTTCTCACCAATAGAGCTGTAAGATTTTTTTCTTACTGTTTAAGCTACCAAATTTGTGATAATTTGTTACAGCAGCGATATAAAACTAATACACGAGGAAATACGAAAAAGAATTTCCTAAACTAAGTAAAAGTCGTGCCATCTGGGTAGGCATAGACTAAAATCTACTTGTATTCTATTGAAACATTTGACTTAGAGGGAAAAAAATTAAGGAAAACGTCCCAAGGAAAAAAGAGATTGCCAGATGATTCTTTCCTGTAGTCTCAGGGATATCTGAAAATTTGACTGAATTATATCCTTTTTATAATTGAGACCCCAAACCATCTGCCGCCACATGGCCCACTGCCTACATTAATATGACTTTATTGTTCCCTGTCTCTTTCCACATAATTTTACTGTTCTAGGAAACTCTTGCCCAAGAAAATAGAAATTACAAATAAATGTATGTTTCATAAATGTATTATTTTTCAGGAACATCTCACCAACTCTTTCATAGAAAGGATCAACTGACTCTTTGATCCAAGACCTTTTGGACCCTTCTCCTCAAGATTCTTGCCTTGTAGTGTCCACCAATCTAAAACCATTACATCATGATCTTTACCCAAAGCTAATTGAGCCCCTACATTAAAATACCCGACTTTAAACAAAACTTTAAAGTCTTAATAAGTAGCCCAGTTTTGCCCTTCCCTCTTTGAGAGACTATCAAGCCTCCGCCCTGTTCTCCCTTGTCAAGTATATTAGTTTCCCATCACTTTTGTCACAAGTTGCCATAAATTTAGTGGATGAAGACAACACAAATTTAATGTAGTACAGCTCCAGAGGTCAGAATTCCAAAATGTTTTTTACTGTGCAAAAATCAAGGTGTTGGCAGGATGGTGCTCCTTCTAGAGGCTCTAGAGGGTAAGTCATTTCCTTGCCTTTTCCACCTCCTGGAGGTCACCTGCATTCCTCGTCCCATGGTGCCTTGCTCCACATTCAGAGTCAGCAGTTACATCATTCCACCTTGGCTTCCATGGTCAAATCTCCCTCTCAGACCCTGACTCTTCTGTCTCATTCGTTCATGGTTAAGGATCCTTGTGATGACACTGGACCCAGTCTGATAATCCAGCATCATCTCCTCATCTCAAGAGCCTTCACTTCACATCTGCAAAGCCCCTTGTGCCATATAAAGCAACATCTTCACAGGTTCCAGGGGTTAGAATACGGACACCTTTGGAGGGAGGCGAGTAGGCATTAGTCTGTCTGTCCCACCAAAGTAAGCAACAAACTCAGGTCTGTCCTAGAAATAGGTTGTTCTGGTGATATTTCTGGGAGCCAGCATTTGACACAACACTAAGAAAAGGAACTCTGAGGATGGCTGTCTCAGATTCAAGACGAGAATTCAGCTAAGGCGCATGTGTCTGGCCAAACGTTCGTATTCATTCTTCTGGTTGTTTGTCAGGTGATCACCAGGCATGTGTGTGATGCACCTGCACTGGAGATTGGGAGCGAGTCTCATACCCTTGCAGAGACAAGGAGACTAATTGTACATCCACAAACACAAAGGCCCTCCCTAACTAGCCAAGCGTGAAGGCTGAAGAAACCCCAGGGCTGATGAAAGCTTTTCCAGGCTGAGCTCAGCTTCATCCCTCGTGACCACATACTTCCTCAGTGAAGAGTGATCAGGACCAAGGAGGCTGTGCCTAGGAGTCCAGAGACCTTCACAAAGCCATTCTAGGATGCTTGCTCTGTATCCTTTACCAAGGATGAGTTCATGTGGTTCTGGGTAAAGCATCATCCTATGTGTTTGATTGTCCATCTAAACTCAACACTACTGCTCCTTGTTGAGCAGAATGGGGGTTGCACAGTACAATTAAAGTTAGAGAGAGAGAGAGAGAGTGTGTGTGTGTGTGTGTGTGTGTAGACAGACCTACATAGATACACATACACATATGCAAAAAGGCATTCTTGGGTCATACTCCCTTGTGCAACACTAGATGTCAGAGGAAATGCAGTACTGCTTAGAGTTTGAAAATACAAAGGATTATAATCAGTAAACCTAT